GGGTGAGCGCGGCACCAGCTGGGGAAGCGGGGGGGGGGTTGTTTGTTCTTAATCTTGTAAGCTGCCCAGAATCACTTGAGTGAGACGGGCAGTTATATAAATGATATAAATAAATAACACGCAGCGCAACCTCTCTCTTGTGTGTCCTCTTCAGAGACCAGTGCTGTGTTTCAAGGATCAACCTGCCTGACTAGAAGCAAGCCTTGGCACGCCGCTGGGCTCTTCCTTCCCATTATGGGCAGCCTGGGCACAGAGCATTGCTCTCGGTTTTCCATCTAAGTGGGCCTATTCTTCTCTTGCTCACCTTCTCGCTAAGGGCACTGTGGAGATCTGCTTCCAGGCGACTCCTCCGCTCCTCCCATTCCTTCAGGGCTGTGTTGTGTTCTTCACACATTTCGTTCATGGCTTCTTGCAGCTCTGTCAGGGTGCGAGCAAATTCTCGGAGCTAAGAGAAAACATGGGGACAGCTTTGGTTTGATCCTTTCCCCCTTTCCTTTGGAAATGGTGCCAACTCCTCTGCCCAGAGGATATGGAACCTCAAGTGGGGCAGAGGAAACAGGCTTCCCCCGTGGCTCCAGGGCAGGAGTGCCTCCCTCTGCTACCTCCCCCTCCCCCTTCTAAAATCCAGGCTCTGCAGCAGAAAGCAGACACTCGCATACTCGGAAGGTGAGGTCTCCATTCTCCTCGGAGAGTTGGCTGATCTTCCGGTCTGTCTGCCCCTTTTCTGTTTTCAGATCTTGGCACTGCTTCAGCGTCTCGTGCAGGCGCATGAGGAGGCTGCCAGGGAAGGAGAGAAGGCAGTCGTCAGAGGACGGAGCTGGGGCACAGCTGACTTTGGCAACAGAATCAAGAGCCTCCGCACTGGGGCCAAACAGAGGGCCAGCCACCACAAGGGGGAATCTGAGCCAGCTGCGGAAGCTCTCCCAAAATGCCTGGGCCAGTCCTGTCACCTGGGCCCTGATGACAAAGGCGTTGCCCATTTGTGTGACCCGCATGTAGGGGTCCCCCTTCCCCAACTGAGGCTGCAAAGCAGAGCCTCGACTCAACACTAATCAATAGGGAAGACTGTATAATGTTGGCACCTACATATCTGGGACTTCAAAAAAGCAGGTTTTTGTAAGCACAGAGGAAGGAGCAGTAGGGTCCCATGGGAGGAGAAGTTCATGGGGAAAGGAGCTCAAGATGAGTGCGTGTTCCTAAAGAATAATATTCTAAGAGCAAGGAGAAGAATGGAGAAACTGAACGCAAAAAGTGCTGAAGTGGCTAAACAAAAAAAGGTACATCTGGAAACAAAAAAAGACACAAACAGAAATGGCAAGAGGGCCAGGTCACAACAGGAGAGGACAGGAGGACAGTCCAGAGCAGGTGTCAGGAAAGCAAAAACTCAGAATGACCTGAAGTTAGAGAAGGATGCCAGGAGTAACCAAAACAGCTTCTTTAAGTTCAAAGTGGAAGTAAAAAAAAAAAAAAAAATCAGCATATCAGATGCTCAGTGAAAATGGCAGAATGCGAGAAGGTACAAAAAAACCCTGTTTGCTTCAGTCTCCCCCCCGCAAAAAAACTACATGCCCATCAGAAAACTGTGAAGAGGACAACAAAGGGGCAGGATTAAAGCTTGAGACTGATTGACATCAATCAATCTGTTTTTTAATGAATTTAAATCCCCAAACTAGAGGAACTATGTCCTAGAAAATTCCAAAGGAAATCCTTAAGAACTGGCAGAGTGGGGAAAGGAAGATCCAGGGTCATCAGTAACTGGGAAGATTTTAGAGTAGATCCAACTGAGCCATTCACCAGTTGAACCAGTTCATGTAGAGAGATAGTGGGCTCCTTTTCACTGGAAGTTGTTGATGGATATTTGTCCAAAATGCTTTAATTTGATTCCTGCCCCAAACAGGGGTTGGACTTGATTGTGTACATGGCACCTTTCAGCTGTGATTCTCTTAAGCAGAAAGGCAGAGGTCTACAACCTTCCCGCCTGAGCCAAATCAGGCTCTCTAGTCCCGAGGAAGAGGAAGTTCTACTGCCTCAAGACACCATTTGGGAAGATACGCAGCGCTCATTCCTTCTTCCCTGACCACACTTGAGGGCAGCCTCTCCATCACTTTCCTTAGGGAGAAAGTGGTTGCACTCTGAACCACTGGAGCCAAGCACTCCACTCCTCCTTGGGAACGGAGTCTGGGTGCTTGTAGTGTCTGCGACTACAGCTTTCTTGCACCGGAGCAGGGAAGGCCAGCAGAACAGCATCCTTCCCCAGTATGGCCAAGTCTCCATGCTATGGAGCTTGGAGAGCCCTTGGGTGAATTCCCCCTCCACTTGCCAAGGCTGAAAGAGGCTGGCTGCGTCTCATGCGGACCATCGGGGGGACGGCACCCACCACAGGGCTCTGATAAATTGATCTCGTTAGGCTGCTGTGAGTTGCAAAACCAGACCTCCGAAAGCGATCAAGCATCACTCAGAATCTGAGCCACAAGAGTCTGAATGGCACAAGAGTGTACCTTTCATTCTTTTCTCGGAGCTCTTCCACCTCCTTGGGCTCCAGCTGATCAGCTGCCTGTCGCTCCTGGAGGAGAGTTAGGCGGTCAATCCGCTGCTTCATCATCAGGATTCGCGTATCTACAAAAAGAGCCCAAACACTCTTCAAAGCCTAAGATGCATTTATTTGGGCAGCTCCTCTACAGCCAACCTGCTGGATAAAATGATTCTGGGACGGCCCAATCAGCTTTCCCAATCTGGAAAGACAAAGCATCGACTTGGCAGAAGCCAGTTCTATCCCCCTATGACAACCTGAGGGACGAACCAGTAGAGGGCAGAGGAAACAGCCTTGAAGGACAGGAAGAAGAGCCGCTATGAAGGCAAGGGTCAGATAAAGGGGCCTGAGCCCAGGCCAAGAAAGTAACATGAGTAAACATCTCAGATAAGACTTGCAGATTCTGTACCTACAGATTTATAATAAAAGTAGTACCACCCTATATGGCATTGGTCTACCTTGGAAGGCTGACAGAACCTCTTTAGATCTTTGAAGCAGGCAGCATACAAACCGACATATAAAAAAGAGGCGGAAACTGACACCAGGAACTGCCAGGGTATCTGGCTCAGGCCACGTCCCATTCTGCTCACTGCGGTTCTCAACCCCAATTCAGAGACAGAGATGTGCCTCCACAGTCCCTTGAATGCAGGCTGCCGGGTCTCCACCCCCCTCACCTTTCTCATCAATGAGCTTTCGATTCTCTGCCAATTCATGCTCCAGTTCGTCACGGTTCTCTCGCTCAGCTTCCAGCAGCTTCTTCAGCCTCCTCATCTGAAACTGGGGGGTCTGCATGATCTCCCCCATAGGAGAAGTGGAGGAGCCTGGGAGCAACCTGCAAAGACATTCCAGCCAAGAGGAAACACATTTTAGTCTAGCGCTAAGTCCAGCATGTTTGCGTAACATTTCTCTACACTCAAAGTACTTTACTACACTTAAAGTGAAACAAATACTGTCTTTCTCTGTCACTTAAGTGCAGAACACAGAGAACAGAGAATCAATGCGGTGTAGCAGTTAAAGGCGCTGGATTAAGAGCAGAGAGATCCAGTTCTAACCCCGCCCGCTCAGCCACAGAAACACCAGGCTGACTTTGGGCCAGTCACCTCTAACAGCACTCCCTACTTCACAGGGTTGTTGTGGTGGGGGAAAATAGGAGAGGGGAGTACTGTGCTCCCCGCCCTGAGCTCCTGGATGAAAGGCAGGAAGTAGCTCTAATCAACAAATAAGCACAGAACCGGATTTAAGCTACAGGAGGGCAGATTCCAACTTAGAAAAGGCTTCCTAACATCAAGAGCAGTGGAAGCAACGACCCAGAAAGGTGGAGAGACTCTCTTCCCTGGATATCTTCAAGCAGAGGGCAGTCCATCATCTGGATTCCTGCCCTGAGTCAGACGTTGAACTTGATGGCCTGAACAGCTAGTCCCAATTCTGAGATTCTGTGGGGGAAAAAAAATCCACAGCCTACCAAGAAAAGCCCCCACAACTCTCACTTTGATCTAACTGCCTGAAACTAGGCAAAGAAGTGATTCTGCAATGCCTTAGATGAGATTTTGGCTGCTGCTGTTCGGTCCTTCAGTTGCTTCTCACGCCCCGTGACCTGACAGACATCATTTTGCCAGGATGGTTGGTCAGCAGCTGCTCCTTGAAGTTCTCATAAGCTCGTCTCGGCATCATCCGGTGCCGCCTCTGACTACCTTGTCTCTGCCAGCCTCCTTTTCACTGCTTTCAGTTTTTCCAAGCATGAGTGTCATAGGTTCAACTGTGAGGTAGCACCAGTCAGACAAAGAGAGACCCCACATTTTTTTTCTCTGGCCCCTTTGCCTCTTCTTATAGCTGTTTTGTTTAAACTTCTCCCTCACCCAGCCCAGCAATCTGAGGCTGTCCCTGTCCCTTCCAGCCCCTGGTGTGGCTGCTGGAGAGCTGAGGTCACCATGTGCCACTCCCTAAAGCACTTCTCCATCGTTTGGGCCTTCGTCACTTGGGAGACAGCAGCTGCCCTTCTGGGTCCCATGTTCTTGGCTGGGCTTCCTTGGGCCTTTCTCCCAATGCCTGAACCGTGGGCGTTTCACCATGCCAATGTTGGGTTCCTTCAGCTGCCAGCCCCCAGGCTGCCTACAGAGATTCAGCTCATGTTCTCCAAGGTTTCTGCCCCCTCATCTCAAACCACGGAACGCCGCCTTGTCCAAGCACCTCTGCTCTCCTTCAGCTCTTTCCTAATAGAAGATAATATTTGGTCCTCGGTTTTCTCTTCTCTACTCTCTCCCAATCCTGCCACTGTCACTCACTGAGAAAGAGCCCCAATCGGAGGCTGGGAGAAACACCTGCAACCATGGGGCTGGTGGGGCTGGAGAAGGCCAGGGATAGGCCTGGAGTGGCAAGGCCGGATAGGGAGAAGTTTACAACAAAACATAGGCTGTAAGAAGAGAAAAAAGGGACAGAGACCAAACATAGAAGTACAGAATGGTAAATCAGTAATAGAGACTACAGATGAGCAATATAAGATAACTGGAAAGCTGAGCTAGATAATAGAAGACAGGAATTAGAAAACAGAATAGTAAAATATTATCTAAAGTAAGAAAGAGAACCACATTCCTTTGTTATGAAGAAGTCTTTACAAGGGAATTGTTTCTCTTCCTGCCTCCGATGATACCATCGCTCAGTCAAACCTACATCAAAGTTTTCTCTTGTGACTCCTGCTTTAAATTCTCTGCCACCAACTTTCCTTTCAGGGAGCAATCTGGGTTTACTTCATCCAGCGCAAAGGATTCTTCCTGCAGTCACAGCTCTTCCCAACAATCCTCTCCGGCCCCCTAATTCAAAGGCACCCCTTTTCCCTCCTTTAGCCTTGCTGTTGGTCCAGCCTCCACAGCCACAGGTTGCCCCGGGGAGACCCACAGACTTGACAATAGGCCCTCAGTTGTCAGTATGGCATCTCTGCATTGTAGTATTTTGACTAGACTTGCCAAGTCTCTCTCCTAAGTAGCAGGCACCTCTTTCTTTCATGAGAACGACAGATTCCTATGAGTGCCAGGCTCTGACTTCCACGGCTCAGGGTGGCTATGGCAAAATCTTGCCCTTAAACTGCAGGTCTCCCTTCCTGGGCAGGGACTGACCCATGACTGCAGCCCACGCATGACCAAGCCGAGCCAAGGAAGGTTGTTCCTGAGAAAATGTGAGCTGGAGGCCATAAAGGGCTTTTAAAAAACGATCACCCGATCTCAAGGGAAGCCTGGGACTTTCCAGTAGGCAGTGCCGCGGCTGCCAATTGGGCCCTTTCTTCCAAGGGGATTTGTTCAAAAGCCAGCCAAGCCTTCTGCTCAGCTGAAGCCCTCTATCAAGCACACAACAGCGGTGAGGCAATAGAAAGTCGCATCAACTTAGCGAGATCACTTCTTTCTAAAAGCAGCGCAGCCTGTGCCGCAAATTTGACAAGTTGCCATTAATTCAGTCTGGGATAGGCAGCCTTTTTGGGCTGGGGACGCACCTGGAGTTCTGTGGCAGTCACTCTCATGAAATAGTTTCCATAGAAGCCTTCCTAACTCCCAAAAACACCACGGTGGATGTGGCCAGGCACCAAACATCCACCGACTGGAAGGAGAACCCACCCCTGGAGGGGTCTGAGAGGGCCAAAGGCAGCCCTGCAAATGGGCCCAATGGTGGAATCTGGCATTGCTTTTGAGAAGGTCAGCTTGCTACTTAGCTGCCTTTAATAAAAGTAGTATTTTTTTTAAATAGGCAGGCAGGATAGAGAACCTACTGAGCATCAAGGGAGGCCACAGGCACCATGTTACCTATCCTGAATTTTAAAACAGCAGCTTCAGTTCTAAAAGTTTCTGTCCATTGGTTTCAACTTCACTTCTGCCAGCTAGCATCCTTTGGATGCAGTTCCCACTAGCCCAGGTCTCTTGACGCACCTTCCGCCAACACCGCCCCCCCCCTTTCCAGGGATTAGTTAGAACACTGCAAAGGAAACAGCTCCTCCAACCTCCACAGTTTTGCTCATTTGGCACCATGTCACGTTGTGAGATTCCAAACAATGATCCGGTGGCTTCTCAGCACACCATTCTATCACCTGAGACATCAATCACACCCGGGGAACTTCCCCGTCATGCCTGTGAAGGAAACTACCACTTACTTGTTCATGCTGGAAGAAGATGCAATCTTGTGTAATTTCAGGAAAGGCACCTCTCGTTTTGGTGGGGTGCTCTCTTCCGAGCTGGCACTGGAGGTACTTGATGATGGGGGCACTGGAGGAAAAGGAGAACAGGCAGGCCATGAGGCTCAACATCACAGGGCTAAGAAGAAGCGCAGCCTTGAATTCAACCCGTTTTGCTCTGCTAAGAAGTTCCAAAAGAAAACAACTCAGTTTTACAGCCAGAGGGACTGTCTTACTCCAGAAGAGAAGACTTCAACATTTGGAGCTTCTTTATTTCAGAGAAAGTGACCAACAAGAATGGTTCTGAGAACTTTATAGGCTCGGGAATTTAAAAAAACAGGAAAAACGGAATTTGCTGAATATAAAGGGTCAGCCAGCAACACCATCAGACTGGGAGTCTAAAGATGGAACCAGAGATAACTTGGTATGGAAACCCATAATGGACTTCCCTGCTGTAGTATCTTTCACTTATTGCTGTCGAGTAATCCCAACCTTCTCAATTTGGCGGCCTCCAGAGATTCTGGACAACTCCCGTTCTCCCCAGACACCGCCTGAGCTAGCTAGGGCTGAAGGGAGCTGTCAAACTGGAAGACCACATTTTCTTGTGTGAGCCAGCCCCAAAGGCTTGTGTTCTGCCCTGCTGCTATTGAGGGCGCAGCTGGCAGAAGATGCTTCTGCTCACCTTCTGCCTGCAGACAAAGCCATATTGATCTGACAGGTGTGGTGACATTAAGCTACCTTGTTTACTGAAGGAAGCTCTAACCCAGCAGCTGCTCCTTGAATTGTAAATGTGCATTTACAGTCTTGATATTAACCTCCTTGAACACCTCACTAAATGGAAAGTGGGGCATCTACTGAACAACACACGTTCAGATTAAGGGGACCATCTAGATTGGGGAAGCCTCTGTGAGCTTTTCATAGGTTGGCTATATATACGGTCACAGAGGTTGCGTTCCCACAACAGGCTGAACTGAGAAGCAGGATCAGCCAAACACAAGGCTGTATCCATATCTATGCAGCACCTCCAAGACACTTAGGCAATGGCTTGGTTCAGGGGCAGGGATGTCAGAAGAGTCAAGATGGTAGCCCACCCCAGCCAGGTTCTCACAACATAACCACAAGAACTAACCCCATTTTCAATTAGGCCAGCATGTTGTGTGAACCCTGCCTGTCACCATCTATACCAGAGGCAAGCACCAGGGATGCACCTGTAAACCACAGGTGACGGCACAACCAACACCAACGTTTTCATCTGCTCCCAAATGGGGGCCAAGCCTCACCTTCAACCGATTTCTATCTACACGCATCCCCCTCTCGCTCAGTCCTTTCCATCCACGCTTGGCCCACTTCTTACATCTCCCCCGCTTTATGCTGGCTGAGAGAGGAGCTGAGGCAGAAGCAGAGCCCCCTTGTTCTGGACTGAGGCCTTCGCCCCCACCTCCACTGGTGCAGCTGCTCCAAAGGTCTCCCGCTGAGCGTGCTGGGCTTCAACCTCTTGAGATCAGAAAACGGCCTCCAGGCCAGGGAGTCCTGGCCCTGCCAGAAGCCCCTTGCAGGGGCCTGAGAGCATGCTGTTCCCGGGCAAAGCACCCCATGCTGTAAGCTTCCCTGTTCACACAGCACTTACTTTTCTTTTGGAGAAAGTTCTCCAGATTCTCACTGAGACAATCTTCATTGTAGAGCATGAAGTTCAGGAACTTGGCCATCTCCGCCTGCGGGTAGGAGGGGGAGACAGGCAGCGCCCGCGTTATCCAGGGAAGGCTTGCCAAAGGAAAGCAGACTGAGCCTACTGCCCCTAGGCCAGACCCCCACTCGATTTTGATGGTGCTACCTTTTCCAGAGTTTTTCCTCCAACCATGGAAAACGACTTGAGTACTGGTAGTCTAAGAGGTGTTCACTACAGAAAGAGCAGCCTGGCCAGAGGCCTGGGAAAATGCAAAGTAGGAAAATGACACCCCCAAGAACGACAGAGGAGTCAGCGCCTCCTGGCTCATGTGGGTCCTTCACTGTACTTCAGCTCTCACACAAGTGCAGCACTTCTCATTTGTTTGTTAAGGCAGCTTGGCCTGTATCAGGCTTCCGGGCATCAGTGAAAGGAAAGCACCGCTGCTTAAGAGCCATGTTAACTCTGGCTGGACTATGGTAATTTGTTCTACCAGGGACTGCCCTTGAAGACCACAGCTGACACAGAATGCAGATGCCAGCACACAAATGGGAACAAACTCCACGTAAAACCAGTACTGTGGGACCTGTCCAGGTTGCCAGTCTGTTTCCAGGTGAAATCCAAGTCCTGGGTGGCTTAAGGATGGGGGTTATCTACAAGGCCACATGCCCAAACACAATCTGCCTGTCCAAGGCCTGTCTGCAGAGGGTTGCCGAGAACCCTCACCTCCTATCCGGTGCAGTGGGAGGGAACCCAGAGGTGTCCACTCTCTGCTGGAGCTCCTCCTCATGGAATAACTTACTCCAAGAAGATCTGCCCCCTCAGTGGAGATGTTCAGAAGGCCAATTAAGACCAAGCAGATGAATGCACTTGGGAGGAATGAAGGCACTAGCATTATGAATTCTGTTCTTCCGAATTTGTCATGACAGGCTTTTATGGTATGTGGTGGTGCTGGTGTTCTGTTAGGCTTGTACCGGTGTTTCTCAGCCTTGGCAACTTTAAGATGCGTGGACTTTTTCCCCCCTATAA